ATATGATTTTTTGTTCTTTGATGCCTGATAACTGATCCCTGTGACACCTGTGATCACACAGGCTGGTGTGCTTCTTCCATGTGGGGTTTGTTGCTTCTAAGCTAGATGGCCGCTTGTTTACCTTCAAGCCTTTAAGACCCCAGACTCTATATCTCTTGATCGCTAGGCACCATCAGCCTTCTTTACCACATTTGCTATGCACCCATTTGTTTCAGTGTTCATATCGGGCAGGTGAACACACAGCGATAGGATTTTTGTTCTTTGATGTCTGATACCTGATAAAATGATCTTTTAATTTAAAAAATTAGACATCATTAGTAACTTTCAAAAGAATGCCAACCTTTAAATTCTTCAGCTCCAAATTTTCTTCCTACATCACTGTGATAATTTGACTGACCACTTAGTGGAACTTATCTAATGCTCAAGGAAAATAAAGTCAGAAAGAATGTCTTAAAAGTATGTCAACATGAGGTGATGCTGATCCTAAGAACTATGTCAGAGGATTTTGTGCTGTCTGATCAATTAGAGGAAAAGAAACCAGTAAGGAATGAAAGCTGCCCAGCTTCAATGCTGAGAAAAACCCTCCCCGGGGGCCTGAGCTGGTGTAATAAAACATCACAGCAAAGGGTGGGTATTCGGAATCCAATCCTGGGTCTCACTTAACATTGTCATTTATGTTACTCAACACTCTCATTGGAATAGCAGAATCAGCAGAATGTCACGGGCATTGCTGATGCCTTCTGGCATCAAGGAGTACATGTGACCGAGTCTGCTATTATCTATCTGAAATTGTAGTAATTTAGCGGTGAGGGTTGAGTTTCTGTCTCATTTAGAGTTTTGATGAACTGACTATAATTAAATGTCTTCTGTATTTGTAGTTTGCAAACATATCCAGTGTTCTGTTGTTCACCTGAGATGCCTTGGGGAGTCTTATGGGACAAAAAGAAAATTACTTCTTAAAAAGGGCATAATAGAGAAGTTCTTGGTGTCCCTAAGACCTTCATGCAGCTGTGGTCCTACACATTTTCTTTGTGTAAAAATAAACAACAATACAAAGAAAACATGAAACTTTTGATGCAATGTATGAAAGTATTTCTGTGACATAAATTCACATATTGTGTTCAAAGGACTAGTATCCAATTTGTAAAAGAATGTGCTTATGAATTTAAATATGCCATTTGGAATATATTATACTTTAAATATATAACTACAGAAAGTAAACGGGATACCTGCATCCCATATTAGGACTTTCATATTCCAGTGGTTGCAGGTTCGTCAATAGCTGTCATTGTTCGGTACCATCAAGTCAGTTCCAACCCACAGTGACCCTGTACAGACCAGCAGGAAACACTGCCCAGTCTGATGCCATCCTCACAATTGTTATGTTCAAGCCCATCATTGCAGTCACTGTGCCAACCCATCCCTTTCTCACTGCCCTGGTACTTTACCAAGCAGGATGTCCTTCCCCAGGGACTGGTCTTTCTTGACAACATGTTCAATGCCTGTAAGTTAGTTTATAATCAAGAGCTCTAACATCAGCTCTCCTGGTATCCTAGAAATAAGCCTGATGTTGCTGTTTGAGCTCCCTCTAGTCCTGGCTGGGTTCACATTTCTTCAAAGAATACTCTGCCCGTGTAGCTCTCCTACACAAACTCAAGCTGTGCCCATTAGCTACACAATGAAAGCTTGCTTAGTTTGGGTTTCCCAGGAAGGAGACTCTAATCAAGGATTTAGAGGCAAGTAATTCATCTGAGAGATGATATCCCCAAAATGGAGGGGAGTGAGTCCACGAAGCAAGAAAGAGAAAGCAACCATGAAGAGTATGTTAGCAAGTGAGTTACCATGACGGGAAACTGGAGCTTAATTTTCGTGAGGAGCCGACTCTGGGGCACCGTGTAGGACACGTGGATCTAAATTCTACCACCCAAGGATGAGTGAGCTGGGGTATGTAACCGTCAACTTCCATCCCTTATTGCTTTAGGACTATTTCTAAAAAGCACCAATTCCTTGACATTCCAGCGTGCTGGACCCAGGCAGGGGGCTTTGTGATCCAGAGAAAACCCTCAGCTCCAGTTGATGTGGAGACTAGCAGGTAGAGTCCATATGAAATATTAGGGTGGGAAGATATGAGTAGACACTGGAAAGAATTTGCTGCAGACTCACAGGGTTTAAAAATGAGCCATTTGCTGTGGCTCATCTCTGACTCCCCTGGGAGAAACAAGTATCAGTTCTAGGCTGAATGAAAGTATATTAGCCCACATGGGTTCTTGAGATATTATCTATGTGGAAATGAGGTATAATACAAAAAAGGGGCACCCGAACAATGGTGGTGACCAAGGTCAGGGATTGATGCATTTATTCAACTTCCACCCCAGTGCTCAGTTAGGGGCTACCTTAGCAATCAGATGGCACCTCCTACTGCTTGGCTTTACCTTTCCCAAGAGAATGGAGAACTGACTGATAACAGTGAGAGGCACATAGCCGGCCCAGGTTACTCTACACATGTGTGTTAGTCTGGGTTGACTAGAGAAACAAGTCCAGTGACATTCATGTGTGTGTAAAGAGAGCTTTATAACAAAGAGTAATGGTATCTTAAGAAAACATCCCAGCCCAGATCAAGTCCATTGGTTTGATATTAGTCCAGATGTCCTATACCAGTCAATAAATTCCTCTTCAGACTCATGAAACACATGCAATGACACCGAATACAGGAAGATCACATGCCAGTGGGTGGAAAGTCTTGTGGACTCTGTGGCAATGGAAGCATCTCAGTGCTGGTGTGGGTCTCCACATGTCTCCTCCAGCTCCAGGGCTCTGGCTATCATCAGCATAGCTCCATGTGACTTGTCAACAGGAATGTGAAACAAAGAGAGCGTGTGTTCTGCCTCCAGGGAGGAAGACAGGACTTCCCAGAATCCTCAGGAGAAAGCCGTGCCCACATAGAGGCATTATTGGCTATGACCTGATTGACAGGCTAGAGACTATACCCCTTCGCTCAAGTTGATAGGAGATTATGTAATTGCTACAACCTGTTCATGTTTGGTCCCTGGCCAAAACCTCTACACCATGTTCCAGTTCTGGGAAGTAGCCAGATACCCAGGAGATCAGAGACTGATGGAAGGGAAGGTCCAGTACCCCACACCACTAGTTGCCAAACCTAAAAATAGTGTTAGAGGACATGCCACTCACCAGAGAGAAAAGATGAAAGACGCATAGAAGAAAAGAAAGCCAGGTGCGGGAGAAAGTCTCACTTAAGGCAGATGCTTCTATAATTGACCTGGTGAGTACCAGGATAGCAGGATCTGTAGTGCCAGAGTGAACCAAGACTAGGGCCAAGGCTTTGTGGAGCAGTTGTGGATTCGCACCATGGCAATTCCCCGTGTTTTTTTCGGGCCCCTTTTTTCGGGGTTTTCCTTCCTTGCTTCAGACCAATGATTCCGTGGAGCTGCTGTACCCTCTGTGGCCCACTCCCAGGCTCAGCTCTACTCACACACTTGGACCATGCTTGTCCTTGGGAGCGAGGCAGCCCCTGTGCAAGAGTGGCCCGTGCAGCACCAACAGACGACTGGATGTCTAAGTTGACGCCTGCTTGAGATGCCTCTGTTCATGGTAGTTGACCAACCCTGTTAGTCCCCTACGACCCAAAGCCAGGTTCTGACAGGGTCCCGCACTTGCTCTTGCCCTGCTAGACAGTCATTCCCAGATAAGAATCCCACCAGGGTCACCTGTCTGCCTCTATGTTACTCCCACCTTGTCTTTGTACCTCCTTCCCCTTCAGAGTTCTGTGTTACCTTTGTCATCGGCTCAGAGAACATGTTTCCTTTAGACTTGTTTTACTTCCTTGATACTGATTCCCTGGAATCCAATACATTCTCATGCTCAAGATTCGATTATTTAAGAGAGTTTCAGTTTCAAGTACCCTACCCACCCTCACCCCCCCCCCAAGCCCTCATCTAATTGACTTCTTAATGAGTGGAATTTACTAACATCTCTAAAAAATCCAGAAAAAAATTGTACATCAGACATGATTTAATTAGGGCTTTAACCCATTTTCATCCTTGCGCAGGGGCCATGCTAATCTTCTCTGTATCATTCCGATTTTAGTATATGTGTTGCTGAAGCAAGCAGAGGGCTTTAACCCATTTTCTCTTATTATTTTGGCTCTACACCCATTTGCTTCTTTTATCATACTTATTATGGTATGAAAAGCCGGCGGCAGTTTCAGGGATACTGTGTGAGTTAAAATCAGGGAAGGTATGTATCTGGCTTTATCCTTTCACCGTACTTGTTCGATGGGTATGATAGACTATATCTAGAAGAAGACAGCATCAGAAGTGGAGGAAGGCTTATTAACCTGACATATGCAAATGATATCACCTTGCTTGTTGAAAGTGAAGAGGACTTAACACACTTAATGATGAAGATCAAAGACTATTTGGCTTCAATATGAATTACCCGTCAACATAACAAACAAACCAGAAATCCGCACAGTGGACCTATGAGCAACATTGTGATAAATGGAGAAAGGATTGATGTTGTCAATGATTTCCTTTTACTTGGGTCCACAGTCAACACTCATGGAAGCAACAGTTAAGAAATAAAACAACATATTGCACTGGGCAAACGTGCTGCAAGGTATTAAAGAGCAAAGATAAAAATTTGAAAACTAGGTGTATACCTGACCTAGGATATTTCAGACTCCTCATGCATATGAAAGTTGGACAATGAATTAAGAAAGGCACAGAAGATTTTCCTATGACTGTAACCTGATCATTAAAACACTTTCTGTTGACCTCCTTCCCTGCCTTTCTCAATCTTAGCACTCCTACATATGATATATATATATGATATACCTATAGATATATCAGGGAGAATATACACCTTGAATAGATGAAAAAGATTCAATGACAAAAAAGTCCAATACTGCCTTCAAAAACACATGCTGTTCTGGGTGTGGTCTAAAGTAATAAGTGCAAGGAACCATAATCTGATGCTAGTTACTGCTATGTGGAAACAAACACTGTCACAGGATTAACAATAAAGCCTATTGCTAATAGAACAGGAGATCATATTAACACAGAACAAATAAAATACACTTAGTAAATTTTTAAATAGCAACTTTAGAAATAGCAAAGAGGTTTCAATGACATTTATTTTATGGTGAGGATTTTTAAAAATTGCTTTTATGGTAGGTCCTGGGGCACATATAGAAACCAGACTTGATCACTATCCACAAGGACTACACAGAGATTGTGTATAAGAGGATATTCCTGACATACCACAGTAAACCCGTCAACAGAAGTAGCACTGGGCATGAACACCTGTAAGAGGGAAACCTCGCTAAGTCTGAAGAAATAGATCCTTGACATGAGAAAGGGAGAAGAGCCCCAATATGGATGAAGGATAGGAGAATTTGTTAGATGTGCCAGACATCAACTCAGTGGCAAGTAGCTAAGCAGTGATAGATCAGGCAAGGAAACAGAAGGCCTGGGGATGCGTGCTAGAGAGCATGGACTACATATTAAGAACAGCGGGGATCAGCCAGTGCTTTTAAATAAGCACGTGCTCACCAGCTTGCCTACTTGATAAACCAAAATTTGCTAGGACACACTCTTTTAAGTCCTGATATCAGCTACATGATTCTACCTTTTAAAGGGCTACAATTCAATTATGAAATAAAATAGAAACTTTCTCTTGGCTTGTCCTCACTTCCTCACCCCTGTTAGGAGAGGAGTCAGATGTAAAATCAAGTCACTCTATTTGAGGACAAGCAGCCGTAGCTGAAAGTAATGAAGTCCCATACTCTGCCAAGAGGTATAGGTGGTATCCACTCAAAACACAATACCATCTGTGACTTTGAGAAATTAGGATGTAGCGAGAACTTGAAAGCTGTGTGAATCATTGCCAAAACACTCATTTCCAAGCATCGTTCATTGAGCTGGAAAATAATTATAAATTATTTGTGTGCTTTCCCCCGACACATAGGCTCCCCGCCAAATGTATGGGTGCTTCAAACAAGTGAAGTGCTTCTTAATGAACACTTTGATTTTTTTAAGAAATCTGAGGTGGTATTAAAGTGTATTTCATGCTCATGATGTTACTAGGTGCCATTCAGTTGTGCCAACCAACAGCTCTCCTGTGCAGAGCAGAAGGGAACATTGGACCTGCACCATCCTCATACTGTTCCTAAGCTTGACTGAGCTCAGTGTTGCAGCCACTGTGTCAATCCAGCTCAGTGAAGGCCTTCTTTTCGGTTGCCCCTCTGTTTTGCCAAGTATGATGTCTGAAGCATGTAAAACGGAGTCTCCATATCCTTGCCTCTAAGAAATTCAAATATACCAATTAGTCTTCAGTCTTCCTTATTCAGTGTCCAACCTTCACATGCATATGAGGCTATTAAAAATGCCACACCTTAGTCTTCAAAATAACTTCCTCGCTTTCATCATTTAAAAGAGGTTTTGTGGAGCAGATTTACCCAGCACAAAGCATCTTTTGATATATTGACTACTTCTTTTATGAGCATTGATTGTGGATTCATGCAAGACAAAATCCTTGACAACTTCAGTCTTTTGTAAATTCACCATGAAGTTACCAGTTGGTCTAGTTGTGAGGATTTTAGTATTCTTTAGATTGAGTTATAATCCGTACTGGAAGCTTCAATCCTTGATCTTCATCAACAAATATTTTAAGCCCTCCTGACTTTCAGCAAGCAAAGTTGTATCATCTGCATATTGCAGGCTAATAAGCCTTCCTCCAATCCTGATGCTGCATTCTCCTTCATATAACACAGCCTTTCTGGTTATTTGCTCAGCATACAGATCAATAAATATGGTGAGAAGATACAACCCTTACACACACACTTTCTGATTTTAAACATTCAGTATTCCTTGTTACATAACTAACTGCCTCTTGGTTCATTTACAAGTTCTGCATGAGCACACTTAAGTATTTTAGGATTCTCATATTTCTCATGGCTCTTCATAGTTTGTTATTATCTATACAGTTGAATACCGTGGCATAGTCAACAAAACATAAGTAAACATCTTTCTGGTATTCTCTGCTTTGAGCCAAGATCCACCTGACAACAGCAATGACATCCCTTGTTCCACTTCCTCTTATGAATTTGGCCTGAACCTCTGGCTGTTTGATTTCTCGAGTGGGAAATACCTCAGTTCTTGGCTTCGCACAAGAAAGAATTCACGCTGAAGCCTGGTTTGTGATCCAAATGGGTTTTTATAAAGGATGGAAGAACTTTCAGGTTTTATAGTCTCAAAGAATACACGCTATTTCAGGAAAGTGTGCCAAATCGCGTGATTTTTGAACACCACTGAACGCTGAATCTCGGGGGACTGCTCACCCACACATGGTTACATGAGGCCAGAGAGACCACAGCATGGCCAAGTGAGTACAGGAGCAGGGTCAAGGGGAGAAGGCAGCGGGGCCAAAGGGCCAAAGGGGCCTGTGGTCTCGCAGCCAAAGTATTAAAATCTCTGAATGGGGAGGCATGTTTGAAGGTATTGGTTGACCCCATTGGCAGAATCAAGCCACCTGGGCCTAGTTTGGGCTGCCCAGGTATACTGCCCTCCTGGCTTGGGGGGCTGGAATTGGAACATGCCCAGTTAAAGTCTTTATGGGTGGCCAAGGCTCACCTGATTCCTTTCCAACCTCCTCTATGGGGCCCTTCAGGCATGGGGAGGGACAACCCCCTCTATTCTGCTACCTACCATTGCTACTCCCTGTCACTATACCGCTGCAGCCATTGATCTTTTTACTTGCGTGTGACTTCCATGATATTGTTCTATAATTTGAGCATTCTGATGGGTCCCTTTTCTTTGGAAGGGGTACCAGTCTCTTCCAGCTAGTGAGCCAAATAGCAGTCTTCCAAATTTCCTGATATAGATGAGTAAGTACTTCCAATGCTTCGTCAGCTTGTTGAAACATTTCAATGGGTATTCCACCAATTCACGGAGCCTGGTTTTTGGCTATGCTTTCAGTGCAAGCTGTACTTCCTTCAGCGCCATTAGTTCTTACTCATACGCTGAAATGGTGGATTGTCAACTAGTATTTTTTTTTTTGGTACAGTGCTCCTTTGGGGTTCCGTATTCTCTCAGTCTTCTCTTGATGCTTCCTGCATCATTCAATATTTTGCCCATAGAATTGTCCAATATTGTAATTCAAGGCTTAATTTTTTTCTTGACTTCTTTTAGTTTATTTGATTTCTGTTTATTCCATCTGGAGAAGTTCATGTCTGTAGTCTCTGTTTGTGTCGTTGAAGAAAGGTATTTGCTACGAACAAGTCATCAGTTTTGCAATATTCTGTCATGTGATCTTCATTTCTATCACTGAGACCATAGTTTCCAACTACTGTTCCTTCGATTTTGCTTCCAACTTTTGAATTCCAATCGCCAATAATTATCCATGCCTTTCATTGCGTATTTTATCCATTTCTCACTGAAGAGGTTGGTAGAATTCTTCAATTTCCTCATCACTAGCTTTCGTGGTTAGTGCATACATTTGACTAACAGTTTTATTGCTTGGCTTTCCTTGAAGGTGTATAGATATAATTCTATCACAGACTGCTTTATACTTCAAGATAGATCATTTTTACTATGAATGCACCACCATTCCTTGTGACCGTGTCATTTCCAGCAGAGTAAACCACACGCTTTTCTTATACAAAATGGTCAATTTCAGTTAACTACTACCTAGGATATCAATCTGTATGCATTCTATTTCTTTTTTGAGGACTTCCAATGTTCCTACATTCGTACTTATTATATTCCAAGTTCAGATTGTTAGAGTTTGGCAGCTGTTTCTTCTGACTTTGAATTGTGCTCCAACAGCAAATGGAGATCCTGAAGGCTCCACCTTCATGTCACCAGGGTCCACTCACGTTTGAGAAAGCAGCTCTTCTTCAGTTACATTTCAAGTGCATCCCACCCACGGGGCTTTGGCTCACATTATCTCTGACAATGTTGTTTCCTTTCACTTGTCCTTCAATATCTGACACATTTTCAAAGGTGTGCACAAGGTTTTCAGTGGCTACTTATTCCAAAGTAGGCAGCTGAGCCTGCTTCGTAGACTCTCCTTAGTCTGGAAGCTCAGCTGAAATCTGTTTATTTCGGG